AGCCAAGAGAAGTTATGTAAACTCTGTTCTCGGTGCCTTTCAAAACCAACTGAACAAAAACCTGTTCTGAATTCAATCTTCACCCTGCTTTGAGCAGCAGGTTGGACTAGATGACCTACATGAGCTCCTGAGTACACTCAGACAGTAAGTTACGAAGGTAATTTCAGCAACACTGTAAGATACCAGCGGCTGCCTAAAATAAACGCATTCTTTGCTCTACTCTGATAAGCTGGGCTATAGCTAGCATTAGATTGGCTCAGTGAAGGCTATTCCTGTTCTAGCATGTGTTTTGCTTGGCCATTTTGCGGATAAAACGATTACATTTTTTAAAAGTCTGATGTAGAACTGACATTTCATGGTCTCTATAAGCTGTGATCGCAAAAAGTGACTTCAACTCTTCTTTCTATACTCATATACCATCTCTCAAACTTCCACTCAAACTGACTGATCCCAGACACTTGACTTCTTAACTTAGCTTAAGAATTTATTGGGTTTTTGTGTTGTGGTTTTGTTTTTTTTTTTTAAAGATGTCCTCCTTACATTGTTTCAGCCTGCTGGCTTGCTTTGATGACTAAGGTGTTCAGGCATTTTCAAGATGATTAAGAAACAGATGTTGTTCCTACTCTGTTTCAGCATGCTCCCTACATTTAACCGGTCTTTCAGACAGAATTTGAAAATCTATAAGTCATTTTCGACATCACAGATTCTATTGTATTAACTTATACATTAATTTTACCCTGTCTCTGAGATTTAAAACAGAGCCACAGTAGTGAACGTAAGTTTTTCCTTCCACCATTCATTCCTGCAGGAAGAAGCAAAATTGATAAAAAGAAAAATAGCAATAGTACTACTGTACACTAAGACTCCTCCTTGCTTTGAAAGGAAAAGAGGCTACTGATGCCCTCAGGAAATTCAGAAAAATTAGAACGTGATATCATGGAAAAGAAATGTAGAAAACTATGCTTAGAGGATGAAGAAAAAGCAGTGGTGAACGAGATTCCTTCTGCCACTCACACTTTGGAAGTAATTCTGTAAGATGACAAAATATTATTCTCTAGTTCATAAGGATTCTTGTATTCCCTCATGGTACAGGAGTAGATATCACAAGCAAACAAGTTTTATCTGTTATTACTGTCTGAGGAAACATCTGCAAACATACCGATGCAGAGGAGAGCAATATGTTATTGATGTTATATGTAGTTTTGAAACTAAATCTCTGTGGGAATCTGTGGAATATAAACATCATCTAAAGTCTGTGCTTCAATTCATCCTGTGTCAAGAACACTGATACTTAAAGAATCCAACTTTTTGGTACAAAAGGCTATAGTTACAGTACCCACTGAGGTGAACAAGTTCTGCTGGGATGGCAGAAGAAAGTATTCTACTGTTGCTCCATATTGCCATAACTAGGCTGCTTCACAACATGGAGATGAGGCCATATATTCATATGATATGGCTAGCTTAAAAACCACACTTTCCTAGTACAGTTTTTAAAAGATTCTTTTTCTTTATTTAATTTCTACTTAATATGGCAACAGATCAGAAATAGCCAACCAGAATTACTAGAATTACCTAAAATTACTAGAAATATCTAAGATTTCAAAAAATACTTTATACCAGTGTAGGGGTCCAGGAGTTTTGCTGCCTTAACTCATGGGATCTTGTATGTTCACAGAAATGAGATTTACATCAGTTTTGAAAAGAAGGTCTTTTGAGGAAGAAATAGAAAACCAGATTTATTTCAACTGTATCAAATTGCTTAAAAGCCTATTTCTACTACTGTTTGTCATCTAACAGGTACAGTTAGAGATGTTACAAAAATCTGCTGTAACCATTACGAACAGCCTGATATCAACCTAAATTCTAACTCCTCTTTTTCACCGAAGATTGCCTTGACTAATTTCCATTGAATAATATCTGCAAAGTAAGAGGGAAAGTCTTGTCCCTCTACAAATAGGAAGCTATAAGGAAAAGAGATCAGCCTATATTTTAGGAAGAATCCATGCCAGAAGCTCCAGACTTCCGCATTCATTTCGCACATCCTATGGCTCTTGCTCAAGACACTAAGCAGCAGTGCTCTGGTGGCAGTTTGCCATAAGATAAAAAATAATAAAAAGTTTCTTAATTATTAGTCACTGCTATTTATTCCCTGCCTCTTTTCTCCTTGAAGAAGACCATTCTGCATGAAGGCATCGTAACAGACAATAACATTCCTGTTGCACAACTCATTCAAATGACCAGCCATGCATATGGGATACAGACGCAGAACAGTATTTACAGATGAAGCAGATATTGGCAATTTGCTCTGCTCTCAGAGTGAATTATTCACAAAAACACGGTAAATATTAGATCCTTGAGGATACTGCAATGTTTTTCACTCAAACAGAAATAACTTGAACTGCGTATGTCTGATGTCATTTGCAAGGCCATCCTAGTCTGAGGTTTTAGCCAAATACATGGTATTTTTTCTTTAGTTACTATGATAGGCAAGTTTGCATGGAAGATTTTAATGTAAAATTAAAACAATATTTAATTATTAATCTCACATAGATTTAAATCTTATTGGAAGGTAGTAGATGATGTCCATTTTCAGATACTACTATTACAAACTAAAAAAACCCAACCCCTCCAGATATCAGGTAACCATGGGACATGTTCTTTTAACAGCTCCTACAACTTTCAAACATTATTGTTCATTGCAGGACAGTGTAATGTCATTTTTAGGGAGAGGGAGCTATGTCTTTGCAGATCCCTCAGATTACCTTTATTTCTTCCTTAACAAAAGTTGAGAATAAGATAGGCAGGGCCCTCACAGGCATTCTGTTTCCTACTAATGGCAGCTACTGCTAAGATCAAAAGCCACACTTACGCCAGATAACCAGAGCGATGAAGGAGAACAAACTAGATAACTTATTTGTTTAGTACAACAGACTTTTGTTTGGATAGTTTAACTTCAGCGTGTGTAACGGAAATGACAGATGGCACCAGATACATATAGGAGAAACTTCATTTTGGCATGCATATTAAAGGAGAACAGTGATTTAAAGGTGACCACAAGAAAGGATAAACATGGATGCCACCAGAACTATAACGCCTCTAGGACTTTGAAGCACATATTAGAAGCAGTAATGTTGTCAGAGGAAGTGTTTGCTTACCAGCAATTGCTTTCTGTGAGAAACCCAGACTATAGAATACACATCTAACAGATCATCTCAGATCCTCAAAATTAGCAAGTCTTTGTGCTTCACTGCTCATGCTAAAGTGCCTGTTTTAGAGAAGTCTAGATATGGATTCAATAACACCATAAGAGATCCTTCAGTCTGCTTAGAGGATGCAGGATTTTCACAGTATGATCTAGCAGAGGAGACAAGACAGTGCCCCACTCAGTTCTGGAAAGCTACTGGAAGATGTTGACCTTTCAAAAAATACAGAGATGACGTTACCTAAAAAGTCCAGCTTTAAGGATTTACTAGAAATTCAGTGATCAGAGACGCCATATCCAAAGCAGATCCATTAAACCAGAGCTTCACACGAGCAAAGGCTGGCCAGATCCACCTTATTGGCCTACTAGCAGGCAATCTTGCGTGCCAGCTAGGCAGGCTTGCTGGAAATGTGTGCCTGAACGCTATCTGATGATCCTGAGACAGCGATCAGAAGTGTAAGAAGCCGTGTTTAAATACAATGGAGCGAATGCTGTCACTTTTCTCTCTCATAAATACACCATCATTTACATACATAGTCTTCTACCTGACATGCATAACCACAAGAAGATGATCTAATTTGCTATTCTTTTCCTCACGTGTACTAGAAGACCTGTTGTCCTGTTATTCAGCTCGCCCTTGACGAGTCGATGCTTTTAGCCCAGGCACTGAACTGTGCTATCTCATTTCAGATGCTTGCTCTGTTTGTTAACTATAACTATCTCCATTCTTTTTAAACATCTCCAGATGAACTACAAAAGTTTAATATTTCTCCTTTAGACTTTGCAAAGCAAAGCACAGTAGAAACTGAAGAACTATTTTAAGAGACAATGTGTTTTCCCAGTATCTTGCACCACATACCGGCTAACAATTATGGTCAACTTAATGGTTATACCATTCCATGACTATCTGTCTAAGCATTCCTCAGAGTAGGAATTCAAGCAAACAACAAACTTTTAATGTCAGAAGAACTCAGACAACTCCATCTACCAGGTAAATTTGTCATTTCGGAAGCTGAGCAGACTCACCCTCTCATCACACACTGGCCCCTGCAGAAGCTCTGTCTAGGGATGAAGGAAAAGGCTCTGCTGGCGTACAAAGGACTTGTGGTAAGGTACCATTATTTCCACCCCTTCCCCCCATGCTCTGTTCTCCTATTTGGGTTACTAACTTCACTGCAGTTTCTGCATAGCTGTGCTTCAGGATCAGGTTTCAGGATGTAATTAGCCTTAGAAAAAAAATGAAGGGAAAATGCTTCAGTCGTTTTATTTTCCATGCATAAGCTATAACTTATGGTGAAATCATTGCTGTAAATGGACAAAGGAAAACTTTTCCATGCTAAAACTTCAACAAAAAGGTTTGCTTCTTATAGATTATAGGCTATGCAGTCAGGAGTGCATTAAGGAAATATGAAGAAAAAAGTTCTAATTTTAATAAATGTTTTTATGTTAAGGTTACGCTTGCCAAAATGTATTCTCTCTGTAAAATAATAAATCTATGCTAAAATCATGCCACCTGGAAACTAAATCTCTAAATACATAAACCAGAACTGAATAAAATACGCATTTCTCGTGTCTTTTGAAAACACTCCATTTTCCTGTTCCTTATGCAACTGTAAGTACTGCAAGAGAATTTCCAGCTGTGCCTTGTCAGCCTACGGACCGAGCGTATTGTGCTGCTTTTCCTTTTCCTTAAGTGAGCTTTTTAGTTCTGCGAGTAACAGTACTCGCTGGTTGTCTGCACACAGCACAGAACAGCGCTTTGTCCCCAGGGAAAGAAGCTATTTCAGACTTAACTAAGGAATCGTCTAACATGTTTCAACAATCCCTACTGTTTCTCTGTTTGTTTTAAAGATATCACTGTGATTTTGTTTCATTTGCAACTGGAGACTAAATGACACCAAGCAGAATCTGCTGTTAGGTTAGATTACAAGGTAAAATGTTTTAAATTTTAAATTACTGCTTAAAGCATGGTGTTGAATGGCTTAAACTACATGTTAACTTTGCAAATGTGTATGAAATAATATTAGCTATATTTAGCAATACTGAACATAAATGCTTTTCTAGATAAAGTATGCAGTACCAGTTGATCTGCTTTTTGTTTGGTATGAATGTTTGCCATGCACTTCAAGCTTAAGCTAACAAAGTGCAGTAAGTTTTGCTGGTATGTCTAAATGTAACTCATTTCTATGCAATAAATTTAAAGAAGAATATGAGAAAAATCTTGGTAAATCACTTTAACCCCTGTGTACCATGAGAAGTAACCTTGACATCTTAGAAACATGTTTGAAATTAGACTGAATAGATAAAAAGAGATTATTTAAGAAATTCTGATACTCTGGTATTTCTAAAGGGTCACTACTGTAAAAATTAACTATTTCCATTAGCATAATCCCAAAATGACAGCTACTGAACTTAAAGATAAATTTTGAAAGGTACAAACTACTGAACACATTACATGATAAAAGCAAAGGTAATAAAGATGCTTAGACAGACTATGCATAATCTAAACATTTATGGGTAAAATTAAAAAGGGTATAGCAATGCAGCCATGTTGAGAGTGTCTGGCAACACAAAGACATAATAATTTCATTATATTAGCTATCTATAATTTTGGTTTGATATGTAATAATTTATTATAAAAGTCATTTAAGTTGAATAGGTTGAATTTTCCCCAAATTAAAAGTTGGCTGGCACTATACTAAATATAACTTCCTGACAGATAATCTGAGGATTCTAGTCATGGGCAGTAAAGGCCCAAAGCATTTAAGGCCTTTTTCTTGTATGACATTCACAATTTGGGCCTTAAAGAGTGAGACAGCATTTATTAAATAAGCCAATGAAAGACACTTAGAAACGTAGCTCAGTATTCACCATTTGGTTGAAAGTAGCAGTATTAAGCTTTCTGTACTGAAGAGTTAACTTGGTGTGAAAATATAGCATAAAAACTAACATATATGAACAGGATTAGTTTCTAAAGACATACTGGGGGGGACTTTTCCGGTTTTGTTTGTTTTGGGTTTGGTGGTTGTTTTTTTTTGTCATTATAATGTATTTTATGAAAAGAAATAATTGTATTTACTACAGAGTTCTACTCTATATTGAAGTTAACAGCAAAACTCTGCGACATCGTTTGTACAGTAAATGTAATGCAATTCACCCTGTATTATTCCTGGCTTTTAAAAATATATGCACAGAGAATGAAAAAGTATTTCAGTCATGTCATTATATGCCTCTGGTCACAGGAAGAAAGGGTTAAACGTTAAAAAAGGACAAATGTAATGTCGCACTATTTCAACTACATAGCCATGGCGTTATTATAATGTACGCTATAAAACTGGGACCAAAGTTAAGATGTCAGTAACTCCACAGAACGAATTCACATGTTCAAGGCTTTTCTTTGTATATTCAGTTCTCCCTACGGGCTCTGTGTGTGTTTCATTCAAACTAGTGGAACAGAAGTTTACTGTGTAATTTTATAGCCAGTCATTACCGTGCAAGTGAGTTAGAAATGAAAAACATTAGGTCATTTGTCCGGCGAGCCGAGGGACTAAGAAACAAGCACTTTCAGAAAAGAGAACAGACATCATCAATGCGGAGCACAAGCTTCTGCATCTATTTGCCGTGTTAACTAACAGTAATTTTCATAAATAAAAGGCCAGTATAAAGTCTATATGGCATTTTAGAATAACTGAATTAATTTCAGAACCCTGCTATTACATGAGATGTTATGTAGATTTGTGTGAGACACTTGAATCTCAAATTGCCTTTCTATGGAAATAAAAACATCAGCTTAGCTTAACAGAACTCTGCTAATTAATATATATATTTGCTATAATATTTTAAAATTAAAATAATTGATCACAGGAAATACAATATTAGAAATTAAAAGCATATTGTTTTAAGCTTATTTACTGCCAACTTCCCATTTAAAAATATGAGAATAAAAAAAAAAGAGAACTATGCTGTGGGAAGCATGAAAAACATGCAATGAATCCCATGCCTTATGTTAAAGAAGAGTTAGGAAACTTGTACAAAAAACTTGACCTATTATCTAAATCAGAAGATACCAAGATGAACAAACTTTTTTTTAAAAAATCTGATTCAAGCCAAACCACAGTTCAAGTTGCTGAAATAATACTATCCTGTACTTATACAATATAAGTAACTATAATTGGACTAACTCCAAAGTGAAAGACTACATATAAAGCCAGACTGATGAACATGAAGAAAAAGCACTTTTTTCATCCCCTCAGGACTACATTAGAGAAAAATCATGGACATACTCTAAGTCTTGTCTTGGACACAAAAACTAAGTGCTCTGAGTCAAGTTCTTCACTAATTCTCAACATCACAAGAAAACGAGAGTCTTCAGACTCTACTGTCTCAGTTAAAACAGGCCACAGGACAAGAGTGTTTCCTTTTTGAAAGAATCATGCCAACAGAGCCATGACAAATCATTAATAACTCCAGAGGTGCACAGCCTTATTTCCACACTGGTACAGCCATTGCTGGATATGCTTTCTATGCATTCTCCTCAATGGTGACTGCTCTGTTTTGGAATGCCACCTATTGGTGACAGTAAATGTAATTTTGCTGTCAGAAGCATAAGAAGGCTCAAGATATACAGTAATTTTGAATTCCTTAGAAAGTACATGCAGAACACAACTCATTATAGATCAACCTTTCTAGACTACCTAACCTTAATAAAAACTTCCACTAGAAAAGTAGATGTGAGATGTCACAAATAGTGCTATTGTGAGCAACATCGTGCTATTGCGAGCAAACTTCCAAAAGGTCTCCTCTACTGCAGAGCCGAAGAGGTTCTGGTAAAGAAGAGGATGGCTAGAAATGGAAGCAAAAGCAGCATCTATTTTCATCTATGGTGAAAAATACTTTGCACAGAAACGACAATTCAAAAGCGTTTGGGGCAGAATATCAGAAATGTTACTTTGCCGTTCCCATGTTCAGGAGTTACAACAACCTGCAAGAAATATTAGAAACAAAAAAAGTGAAGAAACACTTTCCAGCCCTCAGGAACACCCTCGCTGTAAGCAGTAACAGTCACTAAACTACAAATTCCTGGTGGCACTGAAAATCTAAACTACCTGTTTAAACGCAACCCCAAATACAAAGCTAGCGTCTCTTTAGGTGCATGATTAATTTTGGTTGAAAAAGATATTTCTAAATGCAGTTTGATTCATTCAGTGGTCAGCTGATGAGTTGGACTCCATTGGATGACTGGACGTTGACTAGACTGACAGCTGGACTCGATGATTTTAAAGGTCTTGTCCAACTTAAATAATTCTGTGCGACTCTGATAAAATAAAATATCCTTATATCCAGTGGTATATTCAAATCTGACTACTGTCCTTAAGGGCAGAGAACCACAAAAATAAAATTGCTTATTTGAGCTCTCACAGGGCAATTTCTTTGCAAGAAGCAGCTTGATTATACTGACCTACCATGTATTGGTCCACTGGCTTTGAAAAGTGCACCATATGACTGACATAATCCTAAAAGCTCTCGGGTATCTAATTTTCCTCTTTTTTCCAATTCCAGGGTACCTTCTGAGACACACGGAATCATGCAGGCTGTATCATTAGTCTGTTACTTCCTGCTTGTGTGTCTGTGCATTGATTCTTCTCAAAACGAAACCAGTGCACTTCTCAGGAGGCCGAGGAGGAGAATGCGCCCCAGAGGACTGCGATGGAGCTCCTCAGCAGGGCACAGGTCCCCACGGCAGCCGAGGATGAAGCTTGCAGCTCCTGTTGCGGTAGCACCCGGCATACCTCTTATTAACATTGACGACAGTGTGATGGGAGTTTTTGACTCTCTGGTAGGTCTGGGCGGACACGAATCCAGTTACAACGTCTTACCAGGTAAGAGTCCAGCCCCTCTGCTACTTCGACTGCACCGACTTTTCTCGGGTTCAAACGAAACGTATAAACTCATGAAAGCTTTATTGTAGCTCTACTTGCAACAGATCCTGAAATCAAACCCAATTACCTTTTTGCTAATCTACTTTTGTTGCCTTTTATAATAATTTTGTGGTTAGCAGATGAAGCTTTTTAATCGTCTATGCTTAAGCCTTAAGGAGAATCCTGCTTTGCTATGTAACAGTAATACTTTTTGCCATTTTTTTCTGCATTCTCATATCATTATAGCTCATAAAAATTTTGTTGGGATGTTTTCATAACTTCAAACACGTACCAGGTTTGAAGGACGTTTTGAAGAACTTCTTGCTCAATATATCTCCTAAGTCAATTAACATTTCCCTAAGGCCTAAACACCAAAACCACCGCTGTTATTTAAAATGGATTCAAGTTCTTATTTTTTGTTATATTTTTGAAAAGCAACATGCTTACTATATGTACATGTATATTTTGGGAATAATTCTTTATTTTGTAAATAAATCCATAACACACAGTAGTAGTTGCAATGCAAAGCTTACATTGCAAACAAGACCCTTAAGAAGGAAAACTAAACTAACAGAGCGGAAGAAACCACACATTCAATCCAAGATCACTCTATTCTCCTACATTAAGGACTTGGATTTATTTAAAAGAAGTCCAATAGTATGATTTATATAAAACTTACTTTTTTTGGTGATCTAGAGGTTTTCATGTTGCTATACTAACACGTATTTTACATTTTTTGAAGGAGACATAGGGAAGAGGATTTGATGTCTTAAAAAACAATCAAACAAGCATAATTTCATTGATCTTTACTGAAACCTGCTTTGGTAACTGTAACAGGCCTCTCTACAGCCTCCTCAAAGAACGCAAGATTAGACTGGGACTGAGAACTGATAGTTGTTAAATGTCTCTTTGGTCCTTAGTGCAATAAAGGAAGAGAGAACTCTCGCTCCAGGATGCTTGTGATTTTATGTTCATCATCATAAATGGGAAATTATGACTCACGAAACAGGAAATGAAGATTCATAAGAGTCTAAAGATCAGACGTTCATTCTGAAGATAAGCATTGCTGAATACTACTATCAGTATCTTGCAATTTTGAAACCCCAGTTATTAAGCAATTGAAAAATTACAGAGACGTTGTAACACTTCTTTTCATAGAAAGCAGTTCAAAGGTTAAGAAAAACACTGGGATGCTGAAAGGAAGCAATACAGGGTTGTGTCCACTCTGTAGCTAATAAACGTAAAGCCAGAGATAATTCCATTTCAGCACCAAGAGCTCACTCACACACTGCGCAAAATCATCATATTCAATTTTGTGAATTTTATGAAGAAAATAAGAATGTCCTGATTACCACTATTCTACATAACATGATAATAATCTATTTTTATAAGCAAAAGTTAAGCCTTTTAGTGTGTCACACAAGGTAAATGACTACTAGATTAATAGGTCTCAATTTAAATGGCAAAAGATATTTTAGTCACATTTTCTTAACAATTACTATTTGTTATGAGTCCTTACTTTCCAAAAGGCTGAACCATTTCAAATCAAATATTTCTAAGTAAGGGTGTTTAACGGGAAAACTAGCAAAACTCTTGACTATAGCATTTCTAGTGTGTATTACGGTATTACTCCTGTAATACATGCTACTAATGTCAAAGCTTTAATTTAAAAATATTTTTTAAAATTAAATAGAGGAAAATGCCACATAAGTAGCATACACTTCATGTAAGATATTCCAGGCTCTGTCAGAGACCATCAGTCATGCTGAAATAATGCATGGTCCTTCCCCCCTCCCCGCCCCGTTTGTTTCTTTCTATCTGGATTTGCATCCAAAAGCTGAGCTAAAACCACTGAACTCATTTTATTTGGAACTTCATGCTGAATTTACACCATATTTCCAAAGGTTAAAAGTCCTGTGCTCATCTGCCAAAGACTTCAACCACAAGGTATTTTTTTAGTCTAGCTTTTAAAGTTCAAAATTTTTTCAAGTTAATGTCAGATTTGGAAAAACAGAGCCTATTAAATAATAGAACACTATTATTAATCATGCTTCAGAACAGAAGAGAATGCAACCCGAAACTTCATTTTCATTCTCCTAGCTACTTATTTTGTTCTCAGTAGCCTGAAAAACTATTTACAGATATCAAATGCAGGATGAAAATAAACAGTTAAATAGAGGTTTAACAGTAACCAGACACATATCCTTCCTCCATATAAAAATAATGTGAACCATTTAAACTAAATCAGTTCATTGTCTTACGCTGTGACATAAGATAATTCACAGCTGTTTGCCCTTTACAGACTGCCCATTAAACAGTGCTGAACAGGATGCACACTGTTGCCCTATTTCCAATATCTCTTGAACCTCACTTCACTCTGCTTGTGCCACCACACTGAAGTTACCCAGCGGATGGGATGTTTAAGGAGCATCTCAATGCAGTCTGTACTCTGTCTCGTAGGGGCTATGTGAATTCCAAGAGTGCCAAATGGCAGTTCTGCAACACAGGAAAAGGGCACCTCTTCACCTCTGAGCACACACACGTGGCCTGTGTCTTTGTAAGTAATTCTCACATACACACAAAACAAGCTAAGAAGTCGTCTGCAGAGGCCAAGGCCTGATAACCCGTATCTTCATGCTTATTCAGACAAGATTTGCACAAACCTCAGATACAGTCTAGTAGCTAAAACAAAATAAAGAATTTAAGGAAGCACAGAAGAATTTCCATCTCGAGCCAGATATGTTCCTCTGGAACAGCTGACGTTTTATTGTTTAACATGAGAAAGTGTAGTGTTCTTTTTGTGTTTCCTTTGGAGATTATTTAAAAGAAATATTGTGGCTTCCTGACAAGCACATAAAAACCAGAAGTCAGGATCCAGCAAACAGCTGGATTACAGATACCTGGGTAGAATGACAAGGGACTTACAGCCAACTAACATTTGGCCTGGGCTAACTCACCTCCTCCTTCAGTTAACATGGCTTGAGTTGATTAGAGCACAACTTTATGGGCTGAAATGATGCATACGTATCCTGGACCTTTGACAAAACAAGATGCAACTGTTCAAAAAGTTAATTTCTCCCTCTTTCCACCTGGAGAGTAACTTAAAAGAGCATTTTAAAAAATATAAGGATATCCAAACAGGATGATTCTGATAATTAATTTCTATTCTGGAAAACAGGCTTGTATCCAATGGTCTTTAAGAAGGGCAAAGGAATATCCTTGTTATGAAGCTGAGAGTAGGACTGCCTTGAAGGATTTTGCAGAATGCCTGATTTTGAGTCAAATATTAATTCCAGAGATATTTCAAACCAAATATTTACAAGATTTGTCTTGTCAAGATATTTAGAGACTATCCTGAATACTCTTCCCTTTAAAACTGAACAACCAAGCATAGACTAGGGTGGAGTGTGAGAAAACAAACCCTGCAAACAATCCTTCCAAAGATGTTTTGTCTACCACAAATGAAAGTCTCCTGCCTGTAAATTCAGTTGAGATAAGATTTTTTCCACTGTATTGGAAAAATCTTCATCTGAAGGAGGAAATCAAACCAAAAAGGAAAAAAGGAAAATTTATTTTTATTTATATGCACGAAAGCACAAAGTAACTTAGAAAGGGGTTTTCAGAATGCATTCTTACACTAATTAGAGGAAGAAGACGGTGTGTAGAGAGTACAGATTCTCATCAGATTCAGAGGTGTGGTCAAAAATGGAAAAGATTTGCATGGGATGAAGAATCTCAATCTTGGCTTTTCTTCTCTCAAAAGACAGAAAAAAAGCATCATGCTAAAGCGCAATGTTTATCCTGGAGTCTGGATAAGAACTGCCCAGGGAAACTTTTGCTGAGGTAGACTCCATCACTGGAAGGAAAGACAGATTTGGAATAGTTTCCTTCCCAAGCCTTTACGCTCTCCAAACAACTTGCCTACTGAATATCTGAGTATAGCTTACAAAATAAATCTCTTCTACATTTCTTTCTGAAAATTTTGACCGGTACCCTGAGGAAATCTCAGTTTTTTTTGTAGATTCATGTCCAGAAACTTTGGAAACGAAGTATTTATTAGCACAAGTTGTTCAAGTTTGCTACTTTCCTAGGAGAGTTTTTTTAAGATAAAGCAAGTTACAGGGAAGAGATATTTGCCATCTTATCAGTTGTTAAAGAATGGACTTTTCTTCCATTAAGGCTATGAACAGTCACTGTAAGGGAATACTGTTACCCTCCCAGTTCTACAGAGCCTTAACAAAACTTTCTCATTTAACGTGCAAGATGTTAGAAAAGATGTCTAGCACACAAGACAGAAACAGAAGGCAGTCTGGAAAAAAGTATTCTCAAGTTCCGCCTGATTTATTTTAACTCCATTGTGATGAGGAAAACTTGTGCTTCTTTCTGAACCGTATCTACGCACAGCTTTCATTGAGATCTGCAATTTCTGCTTTCCGAGGATGGAAAGAGCCACTGCCGTGCAGAAGACCCTGAGAAACTCACCATCTAGATTTATTTTTTCCCATTTTAGACGTATCTCTGAACTTGAATAATTCAAGAGTTTTTCCAGAAGACAAAGCTGGTAAGGGTCCTCATCAGCTGCCCAGGAAGAGGAGGAAATGAACTACTGTGATGACTGCCTGAAACAGAGGCAGCAGACAATCAGAGGGACAGAGAACCTGCACTCAGTTTTCACCGTGAAGCTGCATGTAGCTGTTACCTGCTTACACATTAATTGTGTGCCTCCCCCTTGATTGCCTTCACAGCTGAGAGGCCAAGAACCAAACAGGGGTTGGAGACTACTAACAAACTGAAGAAAACATAGCTCTGAAAAATAAGGAATAAGTATAAGATACTTGGAATAGGGTGTATTTTACATATTTTCAAAATAAGAACAAAATAGTAGTGCTTCTTTGCAAAGTTTTTTATAAACACTGTTGGTTTTTTTTCAGTTGAAGCTATTTAACTCCGATTTCCTATCTTCTCTTCTTAGGAAAGAAGGGGCACTGCATAGCTAATGAGATGATTATGTATGATAAGGCCGTCTGGTCTCCCAAGCCCTGCGTTACCTGTCTTTGTTCAAAAGGAGAAGTAATCTGTGATACAACCATGTGCCACCCTCTGAAATGTCCCAAAACTATTATACCTGCAGGAGAATGCTGCCCAGTTTGTTCTGATTCTGGTACAGTACACCACCATATTTTTACTATTTTAAAACTACCTCCAGCAAAACCTAATGTGAATGCGACATTTAATGTTATCAAAGGATTACAAGGTACAGATTATCCTTTTATAGAGAAAACAAGTACTGAATGACATGATAAGAGCAGGTCTTCATAATTTCTACTCAAGTTGACTTCAGTTTCTTAGAGTACACTGACTGTTTAGATGAGTTTGATTTAATAAAGAAAAGATGATGTTAAGTATGCAATAGTAAACATAATTATTTTTTTTATTTCCTCCTTCCTGCTTCTTCCTTCCTACCTCTAGAAAATTTTCATAAACGTACAAAGAAAGAACATCTGGTTACATTTTATATCCCACTTCCACTTACAAAGGATCAATCAATAACTAGTAGCCATTATTAATGTATTAGACACACATAATAAACATCACAGTCACCAGATGGGTAAATCTTTGTTAGGAGTGTAAAAACATGCAGTTATTTGATACAAATCTAGAGAAGAAAGTCAACTCGCAAGAGGAACAACAAACTACGGTCTTGCTTGTTCTTCATAAAAACGTAAACAAAATCAGTACATTTAAAAATAAAAGAAATGGAGAAGATAAAGATGAAATGTGATTTCCTTCCCCCACTCCCAATACCTAATGTTTGCAAAGTACTGAACTTAACCTCCTCTTTCCGGAAAAATACTATTTAGCCTCGTGTGTGTGCATGTGACACACAGACATGCACTGAGCAGAGAGACATGATAGAAATTAACTGCAGAACCCAAAGTCATGTTGATTGCAACAACTAAACTCCATTTATTTGAATTGCCCTGTTATGTGAGTAAAAACTGCACTTTGGTAATGGAGTGAACACATTTCCCTGGTTAGCTCCACACCTCCAGCCATCTCTGCACCTGGCAGTCCCTTGCACAGGAGAACAAGTCTTAACCTTTGTGAATTTTATTCAAGTTGCCTTCCTCTCACATCCAGACACAATCTTTTTCCTCTTTAGACACCGCCATCAACATAAAAATCTAACGAATACATTAGTTGAAAAAGAAAGATAATGAAGGCTATCTTAATTTTCCCCCCTTTTTTCTGGAGTTGCAATGAATCAAACCGGTCTACAAACTGTTCTGTATGGCTGGCTTAATAATTTCTCAGTCAAAGTGTGTCTCTTCTGTCAAGCAGTAATATAAGATCATGTTTTCATTCTTTCTAATAATCTTCTAAGAAGAATACTGTTCCTCTATAGCTAGAATATTTTTACTATATGAGGAGAACAATGTTTACTAAAACTTTAGTTTCATATCCTCTTATCAGACAACTTTTTTTTTGTTGTTCTCATTACCTCTGGTTAGCCTCCTCTTTGGATTCAAGTATTATTTCACTGGATGACATAAGTGAGTTTTCTGGTAATTCTCCAGAACCCAATGACCTTGAAAACACCAATGTACTGTCATCAGCACATACTCAAACTGAAAAAGATGAACTGCTTAGAACAGAAGTGGTGGAGTTTAAAGAGAAAGAGGTTCATAAAAAGGATGAAAAGAAAAAAAAGAGGAAAGGCAAAAAAAATCGACAGAAGCATAAAGCCTATCACAGAGAAAAGAAGCCTATCACAAGAAAGGGAGCTGCAGAAGAAGAAACACAATATGGAAGTGATGAAGATGACAGTACCTTCAGAATGCCATCTCATTTCCCAATTCCTGTTCCACCCATAGAAGCTCCTCCTTTGCCACCTGGATGTTCCACCTCGGACACCACAGTAAGCTGTGTTAATGCCAAACTTACACAAATACCACCGATCTCAGATCCAGACCTAACAAGTCTAGACCTTACAGGTAAATGGTTCTACTTTGCACATTTTTTCCTCACAAAATAACATTACCCATTCTCAAATGCAGTCAACAGTAGCATTAATACCTTGTCATTCCCTACCATAGAAATGTATTAGAAGGAATTTTACAGCTAAATCTCTAAACCAACAAATTAAAAAGGTTAGATTTGCTTTCTGGTGTTTAAATACTAATAGGAATATATCTACACACAGTTATTGTACACAATACAACTATTTTCATAACACTTTTCATATACAATACTACACAACTCAGATGCACACTGTAATTCATAACTCAAACTATTTTCTTGAATTCTGTCCTAGGAAATAGTATCACTACTATCTCAGATGAAGCATTCAATGGGATACCTAATTTGGAATGGATTGATTTGAGTAAAAATAATATTACCTCTCCCGGAATAGGTCCACAAGCATTCAAAGTAAGAAAGCCTAACTTTTCTACTATCCCGTGACTAATTATTGCTTACAGGAAAGTGTTTCCTGCTTTTCAGTGTATGAATCTAAACCGGTTTTCACCTAGTATGAGTACCAGTTGTATAATTACAATGCAGTTAAACCTGACTATTTCAAGAAATCTCTCGTCATAATCAAGAACATCTAGAGATTTCTGAACGACATTCATCAAGTATTAAACATTAAACAATATGAGAGAGACAATTTTATGATATTTTATCAATTGCAGTTGAGAGATTTCCGAATTGAAGGGCTCATATTCCATTAACAACACATGGCATACTCAGGCCCAACATCTTAAAATTTAGGTAATATCCATCTCACTACATTAGCTCTGTAAAGCTTATGCTACATGACTCAAAGACAGCAGCAGTAATACCAATAGTTACGACTAGATGGCTGCAGGATGGCCATGTGAGAAGTTGATGTGTTCAGTCAAGCTCTTCTGGTTACACGTTACATTAACTGGCACCTTTATTAATAGTTAGCATAAAGAAACCAATTAATTAGATCAATAGGAGAATTTTTTTTTTTTATTCGAAACACTGGATACTAGTGCACTGTTGCTGAAAATCTTCAAAATGCATATGTTTAAGAAAATGTTAACTTTCATTACAATATATGTTTAAGTGTATAATTTACACCTTGATAATCTAAGTTCTCTTCTTTATCCCTACGATTAAGATCCTGAAAAACCTAAAACGTTTGTATTTGGATGGAAATATGCTGGTACATATTCCCTCTGAATTGCCATCAACTTTGGAAGAAATAAAAATAAATGACAACCACCTTCATGCCATTGACGAAGACGGCTTACAAGGTATTTAGAAATCTAATATCAATCATATGAAAAGATTAAACTAAATCTGAAAAGCAGAATATTCAAACAAATGTATGCAACTACTTCTTATGCAACTGCTACTCTCTCAAAGAAGCTTATATTTAAGGTTCCTACGTAGAGATGGATTTGAAGTGTGTTGAAGATACCTACTTTCCTGACCCATAACCTGACTGCTTTGTGTGTGGTGAAACTATACTGGCTATTTTTGAAACTGCAAGAAAGTAAACAGAATTTGATGCACATGAAAAATAAGGCAGAATATAATTAGAGTAAGCCATGATCACTTTAAGCCAAGCTAAATGTGGGCTGAGAAGGAACAACAACAACAAAGAACACTATGTCATAATTTGACTGACTTTTTGCTCCTTTTCCTTTCCTGCCAAAAGGGTCCCCATGGAAACTGGATCAGTTGAGTGATACAGCTCACTATGGAGCAATATAAATGCTGGAGCTAAGGACAAAGGATATGTAGGCCAAGGGCTACAAGAGCCTTTTAGTTTAAGATTATCAAACTGCACTGTTAGAAGGATCTATACAAAAGTTCTGGGGAAAAAAAAAAGTTATTTGGATTATTTGTGAATGAGGAACTTATTGTTATGAGATAGTATTTTTTGCTTACATTCATTGATCAACACTGGTTTCTTCCGGGCCTGCGTTTGGATGGCTGAGGAGGAGGAACAGCATAATCCATGAAGGGTTCTCAACACAGTACAGTAAGGGATTGAAAGGAGTAAAGCAGGGAGGGGAAGATATGACTTCCCCCCTCCCCTCCCCCCAAAAAAGTAGCATACCCATTATCATATAAGTGACTGGAGACCTGTGGAGATCATTGGGCAATGAAGGTCACACCCACAAAGTACTGCAAACATCATCTGCACATAACCATGAAGTAATAAGGCCTAAAGAGTAGCACTATCCACAAATCCTACAGCTGCCGCCTTTTCCATTCTAAGTGGGAGAGAAAGCTGTACATAAAGCTCTAGTCAATCTCTAAAGTTCTACAAACTAATAAACCATATAATTCTACGTTTATGATATAAGAAATGAAAGTCCTTTCATTACATTTCTTCATTGCTGTGAACCCATCTGAGTAATGTTTAAGACAGTTAAATTTTAAACATGAATTTGAACAAGATATGAGATGGCATTAACTAAAAGAAATCCCAACTTTTTCTCCCCAGATTTAAAGAACTTGGTCACCCTGGAATTAGAAGGAAATAAACTTAGTGAAGCAAATGTCAGTCCTTTGGCCTTCTATCCTTTGAAAAGTCTCTCTTATTTGCGACTGGGAAGAAATAAATTTAGAATTATCCCACAAGGTCTTCCTGCCACTCTTGAGGTAAAAAACAAAACAAAGCAAAACAACCAAAAAGCAAAAAACCCCAGCAGAACAAGAAAGCTTCATTCTTCCAGACATTTTCATCATCTTTTCTTTTTTCTACTTACTGCCTTACTATCATCAGATAGAGCTAAATTTAAATTCTATAGATTTGTTTCTAGATATACTAATAATTTTTATTCCTAAATAATTATTTCTAGAAATTTCCTTATATACCAACTCCATCCCAAAAGTTATCTTTGATGTCTGAATTTATCTAGTACTGTCTCACAAAACGGCATAGTCTGCAACTTCTGTCTGTTCAGTTACACATCACTCACACAACACTCCGAACACAGATAATGCCTCAGTGCAAAAACATGCTTTCACATGATGTTTGTCCTACACTACAAGCCACTATCAGGAACTTAATCTGTGTAAAACGCACAGTTTTGATACATTGCAGACTCACAGCATTATGTTTTGTAAGACATTAACATTTTAAATTCCTACAAATTTGAAAGTCTCAAAGCCCACAAGTGCCCAGCAAAAATACTAAGAAAGCAAAACTATTAATATTTTTCTCACTAACAGCTTTCCAAGACAAAAAAAATTTAACAACTTCTTGTCAATCTCATCACTCTCACATTATATACTCCTACACTGTACAACTTTAGCAACACAAAAGAAACAATTGTTTTTCTATTTGATCTTTCAAAGCAATCTGGATTCTCACAAATGAGAAAAACAAAACAATTGCTTTGAAAAATTGCTTTTCTGAAAGTCACATTACAGCTCCAAACTGATTGTGATTCAGATTATTATTTCTTTATCCAGAAATTAATGGACATATCAGGTGATATAGAGGATAGGTAATAGCTACATTTTGATTTTGCAATGGGAAAGAACGGCATATTTTTCTTTCATAAGTTTTCTTTCTAAATGTACTTATAGGAGTTATACCTTGAAAATAATCAAATTGAAGAAGTGTCAGAAATTTGCTTTAACCATACAAGAAACATAAATGTCATTGTGCTAAAACATAACAAATTAGAAGAGCACAGAATAGCACCTTTGGCTTGGATAAATCAAGAGTAAGTATGAATCATTTGAAAGACATGTCTTTTCTCTGTTATTAGCGAATCAGATAAAAAGAAATATTCGCACTTCATTACTTTTAACTTCAAATTGTGATTCTCTTTTGATTTACTGCTTTTCCCTAACCCTAACTCTTAATGTCTCTTAATTTACTTTGCTTAAATTATATAATCTAGAGAGTATTCAGCCAGTTTTAAAACAAAAAGATCGTAATACTTCAAATCTGTACCATATTAACATGAAAGTGTAAATATTCTTTCCAACCATCCAATCAAAAATTATCATTAATTATCAAAATAATTATATGATAATTTGGTATGAATAGATCATTATCTCACAGGTAGTTTGAAAATGATTTAATACTGTCCTAGCTTTATTTCCTATTATATTAAAAAATTACAGAAGAAGATGAAGACTGTGGAGCTGCACTGTGTAAGTGTAGAACATAAGCAGAGCAAGCAATGAGAAAGAAAGAAGCAAAAGCTGATAATGCTTCTGATTCTTCTGGTAAGGGATTTGCCCGGCTAGGTGGGGTACCTTGCCATGACAACATAACATCAGCTGCAGTCCTACCAGTTGATTTCGGGATTTGTAAACTGCTTAACCTGAAAACCACCACACTGTTACCGATGGCTCTGTCATCTCGGGAAGTCAAGCACGTCAGAATTGATTCTAAAGGAGCCATTCACAAAACAATTCCATTTGAAATGGGCTTTAGAACAAAATTTAAAAATCCATGTGAGTGGGATAACCACTGAAGTCCCAAGCTGCTTTTGTATTTTCCAGTGTAACCCATTATTGCAATTGAGCAATACTTGTCAATCACAAATCAGTGCCTTGATTTCCTCTGTTCAACCTCTCTCTCTGCTCATTACTGTAGATTTCTTCCCATCAACAGAATCATTGTGCTTGATTAATAATTAATGACTTTCTATTAATTCTTTCCATTCCCAGAGTAATTACGCATGACCATGTTCCATCAAAGGCATTCTGTTATTCCATTAACAGGAACAATTTTCCCTTTGAAATTTAGTTTCCTTCAGCGCTATTTCGTAGAGAAGGTAGCATTAACAATGCAGTATGATATAATGTTTTCATCCCCTTTCTTTTTTTTCTCTCCTTTAATGCAGGAACTTGGAATCCATCGATCTCTCTTATAATAAGTTATATCATGTTCCCTCCTATCTGCCAAAATCTTTACTACATCTGATACTTATAGGAAATCAGATTGAAAGAATTCCGGGATATGTCTTTGGTCACATGAAGCCAGGGCTGGAGTATCTCTACCTGTCCTTTAACAAACTTACAGATGATGGAATAGATCCAGTATCATTTTTTGGAGCATATCACTCTCTGAGAGAGTTGTTTTTAGATCACAACGAATTAAAGTCTGTACCATTCGGAATTGATGAAATGAGAAAACTACGTTTTCTAAGACTGAACAATAATAAAATAAGGTAATTTCCATGCTCTTTGTTACATTAAAATAAATGTCACAAGCCATTTTACTTTTAAGTAAATATTTTTTAAAAAATTCTGCAGGAGGAGCTCAGTCTTGAGTTTTCTACTGCGATATTTCGACATACGATAAGAGAAAAGTGAGATGTCACCTTTCCTGATAGTTCTCCAAAACGCTCACAAAGATGCTGAGCACCAGTCCTCTCCAGGAAATCAACACTGCTTGACCCCCATAACCGCCAGGGCAGCTACAATTTGAGAAGCAAAGCAAAACACCAGCTTTTTCTGCTCTTGGAGTAGAACTGGCTACAAACTGGCTACAAACTAACTGAAAGGAGCTACCAGCTGGTGCTGACCACAGCCCCAGTTGTGAATTGCCTGCTCTCTAGTTCCTCCGCTCTGTTTACAAAGTAATGACAGACAGAGGATCTTAGGTGTGCTGTACAGAAAGTTTTCATTCAGCAACACTCGGTAATACTTTCCTCCGGAAAACTAAGTGTATGATATGAATGAGAAAATAGTGCAAGGAGAGAATTTTAAAAAGAATGACTTGTAAAAGTCCTCAATAAATATATTGCTGAGAAAATGTAATACTGATTAAGCTAGCATTTTTAAATCTCTAAATAAACAGCATCTCTAAAATAAATTAGGAAGTTATGAGTTATCTGGAGTAATTAAAATATAATTCCTCCCACAATGTCACAGGACGGTCCCTCCAGAGCGCATCTGTAGGACTCACATCAGTGATGACGATGTTCGTGACAACAGCGAAGAAGATGACAATGAAGAGTCACGTTTGGAACATGTTCATCTTGAAAACAACTATATCAACACAAGACAGCTATCACCACATGCATTTTCATGCATAAGATCCTACTGCAGTGTTGTTCTTAAACCACAGAAGACCAAATAAACACCCAACTTTTGCCCTGCAAACCCTGTCTCTAGAAACACAGCTTTATTTATTCTCTGCTACTAACAGGTCTGCTTATTTCTGATTTAAACCTTTCTTAATACTATAAGTAAGATACAGATATCATATACTGAACTAAGGTAGCAGTGCATTTTTTAATATCGTTTCATTATAAAAACATTAAACATAAAAATAGAAGCTCAAGATTATGTCACATTGACAGAAACTTTACTTAAACACAATAGATCAAACTGTGCCCCCAAAAACACCTCCGCAAGGTCAGATTTTAGAAAAGAACAGTATAACTAAACCCTCGACTTGGTCCTGTCTTATTTGAATAACTGAATTTAAAACATTTTAAATAGTACCATCAGATTTTACAATGATACAAATAAAAATCCTCGAGCTATGAACATTCTAGCAATGCAGGAATCAAATTTCTTAAAACATACATGGTACTGGATTTTCTGCCAAAAATTTTGGAGCAATAAATTCTCTTCCGACTGAAAGTTCATGGGAAAAATATTAAATTGTTTGTTTTAGAGAGATGACCCTGAAAACTCATCAGATTCTGTGTTTGAATACAGGCAGCTAGAGGAATGAGCAATTAACTTCTATATAGATGCTTTTTTTTTTTAAACAAAGTTTATTTGAAATTTTTAACTTTTTTTAAAAAAAAAACCTCAGAGTGGTAGGTCCCATTCATTTGTACAATAGTTAGTTAGTTAGTTTGCTAGCTTTTTATACTGTACGGGATCAGTACCATGTTGCCCATTTAGGGGACTAATTACACTTTGTTGAAACTATAAAATATTCAGTTAGTGGTTATTTGAAAGCTTCTAGATAGTCATAATTCATCACTTCAGAGACAATGTTGATAAAGTAGTTTCAGTAATACATTTGATCTAAATGTCTGCTTAGGCGTACAGCAGTAAGTGTTTTCTAGGGGAACAGAGATTTATTTGTAAAGTGTTTAGTTTCTTGTAGATTTTTTTTAATGTCTGAATTCAAAGAAAAGAAGCATTTTTAATACTCTGCTTCAGATTTTAATATTATATTCTTTCTCTACAGTAGCCAAACATTTGATAAAAGTAGTTAATATTTTTATTTTAAAGAACAACTTCATTAAAAATTGAAAGTAATTTGAACACCTTTCATATTTCTTGAATTCTACAGTCCTTTCTTACAAGAGTAAGCTGGGGGTAGGAAATGATTACAGATGACTGGCAAGTCATTATTCTTCACACAATTACTTTCCACTTTCTCCTGGGCTATCCTGTGAGGCATAAAAAAAAAGTTTTCTTCAGTACTATAGGTGTACTGCCTAATCATTTCTTCTTCAGAATGGGTCAGAACCAAGGATGAAGTGGCCTCAGACAGGGACTGACTTTTTTAAAGGCATATAAAAGCTGTAAGCTACTGCACATTATAAACCTTCTGAGTCTGGAGTGAATTTTATTCACTCACTCACAGTGAAGTTCCACTATGCCTTTTGCAGTCATCCCAATCTAGTGCCAACAGGCGTGTCATATCATCAGCATAAACCCACTGTTCACACAACTTTTAACAGTGAAGGATCTCCAAACATTTTTTTTTAGTACCCTATTACAGACAGCATATACGAACACCTGAGTTTTGTTTTCTCTGAAGCTATACAATCATGATAAAAATATCACATTGTTCAATCCAAAGTTCTCTCTTACTCAAATAAACAATTACTTGCAAGGCACAATGGTACTTCATCTGCAGTGAGTCAAAATCAATGCATTTCTTGTAACAAACAAGCCTAAGAAATGTGGATTTCGGTAAAAAGATTCTTTTTGATATTTTGTTTGGAAAAGCATGGTCAGAAGTCATAGCTTAGTGATTCGCTAAGTTTGGTAAAGAATGGTGAAATCAACAGGCTGAGTTTTTATATACGATGTTCTGGTTTGAACCATTTGATTTCATCACTTGTGCACTTTCAACATTTGATTCCTTCCTTCCTTTTGACTTTTGCTAATACTTGGGCTAATATTTCTTTATAGCTTTCAAACACCACTGAGTTCCCGAACTACTGTTCCGAGAGACTAAAAAAACCTAAATTATTAAAATTAACACTTTTAGTCTATTGCTAAATAACTTCAGATTTACTTGGCAACACTGCTGGGCAGTGCTTTCAGAAGCTTTACTACGCATTTTGGATACACAGATTGACCCAAGGAGGGATTTCCAGATAAACAAGCTGCTGTATTACACCATTTTATGCATTCTTACAATAAATCTAAGCAAAACAGCATGTATCGTTGCAATTCTTTTCATTCAAATAGAATATTTTACTCATCAAAACATTCAGATTGAATTTATAAGACCCACTAGAACATCTCCACTCGATTTGCATGGGACAACACTGATAAAATACAGATGGCTAAAGATTTATTGTGACTATTAACATATTTTTTTCTCCAATATGCACTTTTTCACTTGTAAGATATCACAAAAGTGAATTTTATGCAATGAATTTTGTGTGTTAGATTTTTCCTTCGGCTATTTAATACAATGAGTATCAAGCTTGCCTGAAAGTATGCTGTGATAAGTTGTTCCTACCAGAAGCACCTGATAACATAACATGACCTAAAATTACGATGCGACTATAATGCAACAGTAGTGAAACAGAGAGACTGTAGGACAAACATTTTGGAACTGGAACACAACAGTAGCAGAGGCAGAAGATCAAGGAGAAGAAAGAAGTCAAGGGAGGAAGGGTAGGCAACAAATGGATGCTTGCTCACTTAAGAAATACACGGGCAATTAAACTTGGATAACATTTCCATATGTCAAGTGTAAGCAGTTTAAGTCTCTTTGCTCTTGGAAATTACCAGCTACATTGGAAGTGAAATAGGCTTTATTACAAAAAATCCTGCTACCTTTGAACAGTGAGCCTCAAAGGATTTTATAAACAAAGTAAATGGGATCGTCACAATTTTACAGCTTATGACAGTAAGACATAGAGAAGCGACCCAACCGTTCTTGGTCAAGAAAAACATGGGATGAAATCAGAATCTTTGGCCAGCAATAGGATAAAAACATGCAAGGACAGCTCAACAAAAAACTCTACAGTTACTGGTTATTCTCTAAAATACATTTCAGCAAATAATTAATTTTTGCAGGCTTACATTGGAAATTAATATACTACAAAGAAGGCAATTAGATTGAGAATGGAAAGTATTCTGCTGAAGTATTAGCAGACTCAGAAGTCTTACAGGATGGACCAAACCCTGCCATAGCCATTAGATATTCTTGTGGAACTGAAATAACTTGCTCGAATCTCAGGCATACTGGTCCTTTGAAAATTTCCTAAGTCTGACAGCAGTAGGCACCACTTCATCTTCTAGACTGACAAGAAGATCAATTGAGATACACTGGGAGACACTTCACATTATTCCTGGATAGGTGGAATGCTGACTGCCCACAGAAAGCCCCTGTGTGCAAATCAGCAGTCCTTGATGAGAACGTGGTTTGAGGAAGAAAACTGTTAAGCCAATCAAGTAACAATTTTGATAAACAATCGGATTTGGGCAGATGCAAGGAAGGACTCTCATTTCTCCTGTTCTCCAGATGTAGATGTACCTGCAATTTATATTCACAGATAAATTCAAGAGAAAACAAGCTGCAAGTTGTTAAGACTGCAGAGATTGCAATCCCATTAGAACTTTTTTTAACCGTTTCAGAGAGGAAAATACTTAGAGTAGGGCAAAAGCCTGAATAAAATTTTTTTAGTTCCCCAGCCAGAAACAAATGTACGGTAAATATATCTGAATACGAGGATGTAATGTAAATGTTGAAACTATGAGAGGGTGACACATTTTAAAGTCAGTAAGAGACCCAGAAGAGCAAAGGTTACTCTGTAGCTGTAGCTATTCCAGAACCACCATGCTTTGTGGCACAAGAGGAACTTTTGGGCTTCAGACTCTGTCCATTATATTTTTAAAGTCTGATTTGCATTGTTGACCCATGCATCACACACAAGAATTTGGACAAGACCTGCTAAATCCTTCAGGTAGGTCCCATTATAAATTCAAACATAAGAGCTTTCTTGTAGCCTCTTCAAGTACTGGAAGGCTGCTAGAAGATCTCCCCAGAGCCTTCTCTTCTCCAGGCTGAACAGCCCCAACTCTACCAGCCTATCTTCATAGGAGAGGTGCTGATACATGTTGTACAACTTTTATACAATCACTCCTTGCTGAAGTTAGTTATCAAGTTTTGGAAGACCAAAATCCAGGTCAAATCACTGCTTAAAGGGAGACAGAACCATACTATGACCATCTTGTAGAATGTTCCA